CCCCAAAACCCCAAAACCCCAAAACCCCAAAACCCCAAAGGGGGTACTGAATATTGAAAACTCAATTAGTTTGGTTTTAATTATCATCTGAATCTCCACCAAACATTTCAAGCAACCCGTTATATTGAACTGGGTTATCATCCTCGTCAACGAATTTTACATCTAAACATAATCTACCTTTTGATTACCACCTAAAAATTAAAAATGAAATTTTACGGTCATATTCTACTTTTATTCTCCCAAAAGCTTCTTGAATTATCTCTTTTTCTTTGGCTGTAATTCTGAAACAGTCAAAGTATATTCTTTCTCCAATATCGTCCTTGAGGCTTAGAATGGAATCAAGGTAAGGAGTTATTGAAGGTTTGGAAGAACCTCCCCAGAAGCTGAGCTCTTTGAGTTTGTCTGGGATGCAGTTTAGGAGGAAGTTGATTGCAAAGCCTAAAAGGTTTAAGAAGAGATTTTAAAGGGTAAAGGTTGAAGAAAGTTGATTGTAATGAGAATTTGGTTTAAACTGGATTACATTTTATATTTTGATCTTTAAATAAAATTTTGAATTGTATTGGGAATATCAATATTCTGTAAATCTATCCACAAGCTCATGAATTTTGTTATTACTATTAAAATCATAACTCCAATTTTATAAATCGAGAATAAATTCAAAGAAAATCAATTTCTGAAGGATATAAAACAATTTTTATTAGTATTAAACATTGACTAGGAATTTTAATAACACTTGACGTTGTAAATGGCAAATATTATTTAAAATCTGATAGACAGTTACAGTTTTCGAACTCTCATAAAAACTGATTTTATGTTTCTGATTTAAATGAAATTAAGCTCTTGTATTTTGTTGTATAATTGAGCAAAATGATATATTATATTTTAATTGATTGAAGGGGATTTACAAACTGTTGGCTTATAGTCCAATAATTAAATTACATAAAATCTTAACTAATAGTCAATTTTAATAGTCCCGCCATCCTTTCTGGTTAAATAAGTTTTTCAAATAAAGAGCAGTGATCTTTTATGAAAGATTCTTTTCTAGTAAAGTACTGTATTTAATTTTATGCTATAAGCATTACCAAATATGTAGTAGAACCCCGTGCAGGTGTAATAACTGAAATTTTAATTGTGAGTTTGCAAATTTATAACTCTCGCGAAGTTTAAATATTCAAATAGGTTTTATTGAATATGAATTGCAGAATGGAAATAATTTATACTTTATTCAATTCAAAATTTTTAATTTGAAAGTTCATTGATTTTAATTAAATAATACTAGGTAGAAGAATAAAGAAGTTTAAATTATTTTAAACTGTTCTAAACCTTTATTTAACTCTTGGATGGTTATTATCATAATTATCTTGTATCTCGAGCTTTTGGAGATTCAGGCAAATATAAAAAAAACTCGAGATCAACAGATTAATCTGTTGAACATAATATTTACGATTAATTTTTAAATTAGTTAAAAAATTTCAAAATTATTTTACTTTTATATTCATCAATGCCTTTATCGAAAATGTATTTAAATTCAAAAGTAAAATATTCACCGACAGAACCATTCAAATAAATTTTTCACAAAACTCTAAGACCAAAAATACATAAGCCCAAATAATTTCCTCCAAACACAAGCGAAACTACTTTGCCATGTCCTTTCCTAACAAACTCTTGGACTAAGTTCTTCCTTCAAGTTCCACTCCAAAAACTCACTTACCAGTTTCAACTTGATCTAAATGCCACAATGTTATCTTCTCTAAATGGTCAACTAATATTTTATTAATCTCCTGAAACACTTTCTTATGTTCATCGAAATTGAAATAAAACACAATTTCTTTCTGAGAAACTATTTGTCTTAAGAATTCAATGCCTAGATGTAAGAGAGGGAGTACATTTGGGGCTTGAGATTTTTTGAAGTGAAGGGTCGATTTTAACATAGGCTTTTGTAAGCATTTGGGTCTACAGGTTATTTTATGATATTGTTACTAAGGGGGAACTTCTTTGGGATATTATCCCGCTTGTAGAGTTTAATCTTGGCTTTGCTTCTAAGGTAGGAGGTTAATTGATTGATAAAATTGGTGAGGGGAAAGAAAATGATGATCACCTTTAGACTCTTTTGAGTTTGTAGGGTTTTTAGGATTTTGAGAAATTTTAAAATGTCCTTCTGATTGCTCTGAATCCTTTTTTTGGTTGGTGGTAAGTATAGCATCTATCCAGTCTAGATCCATTCCCATATTTTTAAGATTTTTGCAAATAATTTGGTTAAATTTAGAGCCTTGCTCTTCAAGCCTTCTGTATAATTTCTGAAATTTTATATCTGTTTGAGAGTGAGACACATTTAGCTCATCAATTTTCTATTTAACGGTTTAATCAAGCAAATTTTTTTTAACCAAAGCTTCAATCTGTTAACAATGCAGAAATTAAATGCTTTGAAGGGTCGAAATATAGTAAACTATAGCTTTAATTCGATTAGAAGTTTGTATTCTAGAATTACAAATTTTTGCAAGGGCTTAACTATTTACTCGAAAAAGTCTAACTTGTAAGCTTTTTATTGTAAATTTTCAAGAAAAATGACTATTTAATAAAACTATGTGCTACATATTATGTACACATAATTTTTAATTGAATAATCGCATGTGATTTTATATGCTTTCATTTGAATCTACAAACCTGAAAATAACCTGGCATACAGTTTACTATATAATATACATTTGTGTGCAATGGCTTAAAAAATAAGGAATTACAAAATAAAGAAATTGTTCAAATCTAGAAATCATGAGTAGACTAAACCAATGTCTTCGGCTTCACATTACATTTGAAATCAGGGCCTTCAAATCTTCGTAGTTAGTTTTTAGGCCAGCATAACTGGTCTTCATATCTTCAATTTGAACCTTCTTTTCTTCTGTTTGTGCTTTAGCTTTGCACAGATCAGTAGTCAATTGGATTTTCTGTGATTCCAGTTCTGTGTTTTGGGCTTTCAGTTCAATATTTAGAGTTTCTAGTTCAGTGTTCTGTGTTTCTAGTTGTGCAATTCTGTGTTTCATGGAGTCTAATTCTTCTTGGAGTTGATCTCTTTGACTGTCAATTTCTGAATTGTGCATGTATAGTTTTTCTATCTTGGTGTTGAGATCTGTTTCAATCTGAAGTCTCTCTCTTCTGACTTTATCCAAAGTTATCTTAAGGCGGATGTTCTGGTTCAGAATCGAGTCTTCTTCATCAATTCCTTTAACTCTAAGTCTGATGTTTTCAGAGTTCCTAAACAGAAGCAGTCTATACATCACAAGGCAATATACTCAATAAGTATCGGGCTTTGTTTCCATTCTTGCTTGAGTTGTTCTACACAAGATTAGACTCAATATATTAAAAAGTGATGCACAATGGAGCAAGACACTAACCTATCTGAGGCCTGATGTCTTCCATTCTTGACCAAAACTTTTTAGTAATGAGATTTTGAAAGGCTTCCCTCAACTTAGTAACCCTGACCTTAAAGTTTTTGAAAGATTCCATCAAGTGCTCCCACTTATACTGGAGTGTGGGCTTATGTACAAGTAGCAATTCTAGAGTTAACTTTGTGCATACCTATTGTCTCGATGTTTCATTCAACTATACATGCAAGCAATTAGAAAGTTAACAAGGATTTCAGATAAAGAATCTCTTTAGAGTCAGAAACATCAAAGATGGAATTTGAGATCAAAAGTCAAAGTTGTATCTAACCAGGAGTTAAGGCGGTGATCACATATTGCACACAAGTGAAGCTAAACTGGAGCAAGTTGTTGATTACTCCATCATGGTTGCTGAATTGTATAACTATCATCTTAAAACGTGGCTTTACACAGAGACCCCTTCCAACGATAAGTAACTTAACATGGTATTGAAAGATTGATAAATACTAAGATGTATCAAGAGTCCAAGCTAATGTAGTTCAGAGTCTTTGATAATAATAATCAGACTCCATTATCTTGACATAACTAAGATTAAGTGATAATAGCTTGATGCTATCACTCTTTGCTTCATGACTTATTTAAGGTTTTACTTTATAATGGCCAAATTATTTTTAAAATCTTAATTTTGTTTCTGGTTTAATATAAAAGTAGCACTCCAAAATATTATCCATCAATTTCAGAATCAAAAAGCACGAAACAGGCTAAATTTTGGCTAAACTCATGTGACTCCAAAGCCCCAAACTGGCTCAGAAGGACTTTGGAGAAGTATGGTTTTACCACTCCCCCCCTCAAAGCCCTTCAGCCCCTCCAGCTCTCCTAGGGGCCATTATTGTGTTATCTCAGACGTACCTATCTGTAAAGAATAGTCGATTTTGTGTGGAACAGGAAGTGGCTTGACTTCATTGTCCAAGTAGGTCAGCTCTTTGCAACTTCCGCAGATGTACTCGCTGGAATAAACCACATAATGTTTGACCGGGTTCTTACAGTTTGACATGTTACATTTCAGCTGCTTGAAAATGTTCATTCTAACTAATTTATAATTAATTTTAAAATTTCCTCCTTTTATAGTGCTCTGGGGTTTTGGGGTTTTGGGGTTTTGGGG